AAGCAGAAACTAACACACCAATGTAAAGCAATTATACCCCAATAAAGATGTTAAAAAAAAAAACAAACACAGTCCTTCTACCTTTGAGCTCATGACAAATAATTGTCTTTTTTGAGTAATAAAATAGTGGTTTTCCTCTGATACCTTAAAAGAAAGATTAATTATGTACTAAATATACTCAATTTATAGCTTGTACAGAATTATGCTGAAGCAGGTTGAGCTACTACCTATCTGATAATAAGAAATGGGGGGGAAAGAAAGCTCACCACGTAGTACTTAGAACTAAAGAGAGCGTGGAGATCCATGGTTAATTTATGTGGGGTCTGATTTATCTACTTACCGTTTTGGTTTCTGTGTTCAGAACAGGCAGTGCAGAAAGCACATTTTTGCAAGTAGAAAGGAGGTGAAGCATTACCTTTGAAGGCCTACCTGTTTCACCTGGATAAATGTCAAGGGATAAACGCTTTTTACGGGTCCAGAGGGACACAGAATGTCGAGAGCCTCCTCCACTGTCTTTAACTGAAAAGAAACAAAAGCAGCATTCACTCACTGTCACCCCTCCCTGGTAATCACAGTAGAGAATAACATCATTGACCAACCCCTAAATAAACTGAAATGGTTCAAATTCTACTTAGTGCTGTCCCCCAGTCACCTTCAATCAATTCCATCTATTCCTTAACTCTGGATGAAAATTAACAGATGATAAACTTAAAAATAGTTTCAAACATACCTATTTGCAAACACAACCTCCTGTATATGAAAGGCCCTTAAAATGCATGAAAACGAAAGCGCCGTAAAGCCTTCCCGCCACTCCCAATAAAGTAGCTCCGACTGTGCCCTCCTCTGAATTGGTCTGCAGCATATTTCCCACGTCTGTATCACTTTCCAGTTGTTTATACCACTGCTGTCCTTGCTGACCGTCAGCTCCTTAAGGGCAGGGTCTGTACTGAGCTTACTTCCAATGCCAGCACAAGGTAGACACTCAATTCATACTTATGATTGTGTATTCTTGCAGCTTATGGTGTTTATTCTGATGCAATAACAACAATGATAATGGCTATAAGCTCTGGCTGCCTCACCAAACTCCAGAGGAGACATCACTTTACCCGCATACCTCACTGAATCCTCACAACACCGAGAAAGGCAGGAATTACGGTCCCTTTTTAGTAAAGAAGAAACGGGGCTCAGAGCAGCTCAAGGCGCAGACAGGATTTGCAGTTAGGTTTGGCTCCAAACCCAGGGCTTTCCCTAATACGATACTGGTCAGGAATTTTTTTTTTTTTTAGTGTTTTTTTTTTTCTTTTCTGTGGTATGCGGGCCTCTCACTGCTGTGGCCTCTCCCGTTGCGGAGCACAGGCTCTGGACGCGCAGGCTCAGCGGCCATGGCTCACGGGCCCAGCCGCTCCGCGGCATGTGGGATCTTCCCGGACTGGGGCACGAACCCGTGTCCCCTGCATCGGCAGGCGGACTCTCAACCACTGCGCCACCAGGGAAGCCCCGGTCAGGAATTTTATAAACACTTTTCATGGTTACCTCGCAGATAGGCAGCATGGAAGAAAAGAGTCTTAAGTACAGTCCATCAATTCAGCTGAGTGGGTGCTCTCCCACTTGGACAACTAAAGGAACTCAACTCATGGTGAAAGCTTTTATCCTATGTAACTATGTTCTACTTAAACTTCATTTAGTTATATGCTGATTTGCTATCTTCAATTGTATATATTTATTTTCTGGTCTCACAATTTTCCATCCTGGTAAACAAAATGTGCTCTGGTACTAAGGTAGCTATGTTTTAGCAATGTTGTTGTTTGAAACATTTGCAGTTATTTTCTGTTGCATAAAAATAAAATTTTCACAGCTCTGTAAAGACATAAACCGGGACTTCCCTGGTGGCACAGTGGTTAAGAATCACCTGCCAAGGGCTTCCCTGGTGGCGCAGTGGTTGAGAGTCCACCTGCCGATGCAGGGGACACGGGTTCGTGCCCCAGTCCGGGAAGATCCCACATGCCGCGGAGCGGCTGGGCCCGTGAGCCATGGCCGCTGAGCCTGCGCGTCCAGAGCCTGTGCTCTGCAACGGGAGAGGCCACAACAGTGAGAGGCCCGCGTACCGCAAAAAAAAAAAAAAAAAGAATCGCCTGCTAATGCAGGGGACACAGGTCTGATCTCTGGTCCGGGAAGATCCCACATGCCGCGGAGCAACGAAGCCCGTGCGCCACAGCCACTGAAGCCCATGCACCCTAGAGCCCGTGCTCCGCAACAAGAGAAGCCACCACAATGAGAAGGTCATGCTCCGCAACGAAGAGTAGCCCCTGCTCGCCACAACTAGAGAAGGCCCACGCGCATCAATGAAGACCCAGCACAGCCAAAAATTAAAAAAATTTTTAAAAAGACTCAAACCACCCCTTTCCTTAAGTAGTAGTAGCAATGAACAAGTAGAAGATACGCCCTTTACAAGTGTGATTAAAGTTTGGTTAATCTAAAGCAAGATTACTATCAGGCAGAGAGACCACATTCTTTGTAGATCATAACACACCTATCCGACACTAGGTGGAAAATGTCACAAGAGCTCAACCAACCAATAATACATCAAAGGGCTTCATGAATGGAAAAATTATACAATCATGTTTGGTATTTTGCTTAAAGATAAAAACTTATGATGCTATTTTAGAATTATCAAGATTCTTAAGAAATATGTAACTTTTTTTTCCTTGTGAGTTAACCCATGTAGGAGTTAGGGATTATCAGAGGGGAAAACCTGAAGACACAGACGGTCAAAACAAAGATTTGGGCT